TTAACGAACTGCCGATGTTTCCCGCCATACAGAAAAAAAGAATAGTAATTAGTGGAAAATATGTGAGTGGGAAAATATATCACTTGTTATATAAATAGAACTCGAAGAAGCAGAGTTTTTTCTTTTGCCTCAACGAATGACAATGGAGGAAGAGTTCAATAAACGGCTACAAGCTTTACTTGACTCTAGTATAGGACATAATGTCGTGCACCTATCGCCGGCAAAATATGTGGACATCATCAGTCGTTTGAAACAAATGACGGTATCAACCCATAAAAAAGGTATGTATCTTACCTTATTGTATATAAAAAAGTATATATCGAAGTCATGTCAGTGTCAAATGCTCATAAAACCCTGTCGAAGGGAGATATAGCCTTACAATTCAGATAGTCAGCACCTTTAAATGGACAAATTATGTGTTCAGCATTCTAAATTCTATAACACCATTTAGACAAACGAGATTACAATTTATTGGAGCGATATGAACTTTATATTGTGGGCAATGATGAGAGGTTAATCAAAAAAAGAAAAACCCTTACCGATACAATCTCATTTATGGTGAAAACGGATGAACTGTTCCAAGTCATCGACCAGGCACATAAGCGAATTGGACACGGCGGGAGAATAAGAACACTTCAAGAAATCAAACTCAAATATGGAAATATAACCGAAGAAGTTATTGAACTGTACATTTCTATCTGTGAAGCTTGTCAGCGAAAACGTTCAATCTCACTTCCAAAAGTAGTGTCGAAACCGATACGCTCACATCATTTATTGAGCCGTGGACAAGTAGGTGATATATTTTAGTAATGAATGATTGTGGATTAAAAGACCGTAAAAGAATTCAATTCTGAAAACGAAATAAATTGTAACCATTCAGCGTTTCGATTAGGAGAATTTTATTTAAGGATATCAGAAGAACATACAAAAAGTGTACAATCTATATGACTGACCAGAGCGTGAAATACTGCGAACTGTACAAACTTCAGCTGAAAGAATTAACTAACTGGAATTTTTAGGTTGATCTAATTGATCTACAATCAAAACCCGATGGGAATCACAAATGGATTCTCAATTACCAGGATCATTTTACGAAATTCCTGATACTGCGACCAATGACCAGCAAACGAGCTGCTGAAGTCGCATATCATCTCGTCGATATATTCTGCACGTTTGGGGCACCGTGTGTATTACAATCGGATAATGGTCGATAATTCGATAATCAGATAGTCGATGAAGTCAAACACATGTGGCCGGGATTATCGATCGTGCACGGGTGTCCAAGACATCCTGAGCCTCAGGGCTCGATTGAGAAATCGAATGAAGATGTAGAGAAGAAGCTGGCTATTTGGATGAGAGAAAACAATACAACGAAATGGTCATCTAGCCTTCGTTTCGTGATGCATCAAAAGAACACATCCTATCATACTGGTATAAACTAATACGCTTTCTCTCTTTTTCTCTCAACTGTAAAACAAATTTCTAGAAACAAAAAGAATTGAAAAATATGTTGACTTGATAGGATAAATTATTGTGAGCTTACATCTTCTCCCTGTTCGGTTATTGATTTTAGTACCAAGAGTTCGTCAGTACGACTAATTCCTTCTACTACTTATATTTCAATAGAAATTCGGTCGGCACCGTTCGATTGGTATAACTCATAAATTCGATCTATCGTCGCTTCCCCTAGCGCCGGAAACGATTCATCGAATCACATCAGAAGAGGAGCTCAGGCAAGCCGTCAGTAATAAACAAAGTGATGCGCTCACAACCTCAACAATTACGACAATTTCATCATCATCCAGTATTCAGATGGTAACCACGAGCATGTTACAATCGTTATCCGATCTCAGTTTAAAAGCAATGTCATCTCAATCCATATCTGATGAAACTACGACCGTTTCATCGCTTATTACAACGTCTACGACTACATCAGCAGCTTTAGTGGGAACACCAAAGCCGACTCCACTTCTTGATCTGATGACTAAAACTCCACTCAGCCCTACATTCACATTGAGAAAACCTCAGGTTATACCTGAGGTTATACTATAGACATAATGTTCAACTGAACAGCTTCGGTATTGTGTGAACGTTACCGTAAGAGCTGTGAAGGGATCATTCTGGTCTTCAGTGTGAACAACATTTCTGCTTGTCCCCTAACTCTGTTTGTTCTTAGATGGTTTTTGGAAAACTGACAAAAGCCTTTTGATAATTCAAAAACCCTATATAGTATTTTATATAACTCAAATCGTTTTTTCATTTACATAAAAAACCTACCCTATAGACGCGAAAGCACTAAATGGCTTGGGTTTAATATTTATTCTCAGAAATGGTTTTTAAAAAATCTTTTTACGTTTCGTTCGGAAAATGAAAAACTTTTTAAGGCTTTATTATTTTAAGAAATACGTTTTGGGTTTTTTATTTTGTCTCGAAAACGGTTATGGAACGTATTGCAAGAAACTCAATGGTTTTATCAACAGTTAAAAATCACTTTTTCGTTTTTTCCGAATGGAACCAAAACATTTAAACGTTTTTTGTCGAATAAAAAACCTTTTTGGGTTTTTTAAAATACTTTTTTTTTAGAGTGTAGGGGATTCTATCCCCTTTGCCAAGCAGCACACTGACGGTATTATCAGTCCCGTTGGCCGCTACCAAATCCAGTTTGTTATCATTGTTGACGTCACTGGTATCAAAACGAGAGATTCATCATTCCAATCAACTTACTGGCGATCGTGGCAGTCATTGTCGGTTCTGTTTTGGGATAAAGGTCCACAGGTGTGCTTTTTGGGTACAGAGCGCAAAAAATATTGCGCCTTTCAGTATTCTAACGCGCAAACATCAACACTAATGAAAACTCAACATTCAGTAAATTTCTTCATTCATGGATTTCCGTGTAACGTCTTAGGCAGGCAAACTTCTATTTGTCTAACTAACGTTAGCACATATTCTGCGATAAACTAAATTTTGCGATTTCTCGTCAGTCCCAAACACATCTGGTGAGATTTCTATATTTTCCACTTGTTGAACGACTCAGCAACATCCGTACGTCTTTTGAAACATAGAAAACCTAGATTATATTGAGAACGTTTAGAAGTAAATCTTGACCGAATAAGTGGACTGAAATTTATTTCAAATTCTGCCCTTGAATCGTCTAAATGAATCGGTGCGGATGTACCATTCTAAGATCCTGGATCCGCCCTTGAGTAAAGAGTTTGAAAATCAAACCGATCCGACCGGTGAAAATGTTTGCTCTACACCATGAATTTATTTACAAATATTTTCTGAATTGAACTCAGGTCTTAGTTTTCTGCGATTCTGGTTTTCCAGACACCCTGGCTTTAAGAGGTAGTGAGTCGATTTTACCTTTGAATTGAAAATACAACTGTTCATTTATGTAGACATGTTAGCCAGCTTCATTATCGACGGCAGCGACGGACATTTCGATTCGACATTTTGTAGAACTCCAGTGTTTTTTCTTAGTAATACATACTATAGCGCTTCCGATCTGACAGGAACATAATATTGCTCTGTCATACAGAGCTCTGTGCAACTGCATGCTCCAATCTGACAAATGCGGAAAACTTTTTCAACGATAATGAGTTCAATATTGTACACTATTTCGAGAGAACTTTCCGAAGAAAGTAGTACCAGGTCTAGAACTGATCTGATTGACATTGTTCAGAAAATTAGCAGGGTCAATAGTCACCAGCTTTTCTCACCCATAAACCGTTCTAAAATTTTTCGCATTTTGACCGTGTTTTTTGGTTGACAGATGTGGAAGAAAGATTTTTTCATCAAATACTCTGGACAAAAAATTTCAAAGATGATCCATCTTTTATGGAAAATTGGTACTTTTACTATCGTCTACGAAAAGTCGCACTAAAATACCTACTTGAAAAAGTGTGAGTTAGTACTACTCACGCCTCAGGAAAGTCCGCACCCTGTTCGGACCGTTAGAGATGAAACTCTCGTTCATGAGAGTATTTGTAGACTAATGTATGGTTGTTCGAATCCCCAGTCCGCATTAAAAAACACGTTTTTTTTCGTTCCGTACGGAGGTACTCTTTGAAAGATTGATGTGGTACACCACCTGCAACTGGTGGCCTGCTCGAAAAAAAACATTTTTCTAATTTCTGCACGTGTCAGCTACACAGTGGTGAAAACCGTATGTCTCTATCTCTTTTCTATCGCGAGTTATTCAAAAAACGGCAGGGTGCCTTGTATTTTGAAACAGATAGTTGTATATATTACTTTACATTCTCACAAAGATCCTTCAACAAAATCTAGATTTTCTGAGATAGACTGACATTTATTTCAAATTCTGCCCTTGAATCGTCTAAATGAATCGATCCGGCTGTACCATGTTAAGATCCTGGATCCGCCCTTGAATAAAGAGTTTGAAAATCAAACCGATCCGACCGGTGAACACTGGATTGTTCTGAAGCATCTTTGTGGTGTGGAGTCCGCATAAGACTTGAAATCTGGTCACTAACTGTTAAAACCAGGATGTCTAGAAAACAAAATCGCGGAAAACCAAGTCCGTGAGTTCAATTCAGAAAATAGTTATAAATAAATTCATCGTGCAGAGCAAACATTTTTGAAGAAAATGAGACGTCTTCGAGCTGTTTACGATACTTTCTCATAAAGCAGCGTTCAATTTATGGAAGGTCGCAAACTAACGTGAAAACAAGAAGATACGCGCTAAAACCCTTCTGTAAATTGGATGCTACTTCATGAAAAAATGTCACAAAGAGCTTGAAGACCTCTCATATTGGACGCATATTGTCCTCATGTGTATTAGCATCATCATCTTGTCGAGATTAGAGATGTGCAACCCGACTCGATCCGAAGGCTGGGTACGGGTAGAGCAGTTATGGGTAAGGGTTCTATTTGTTTTTAATTTACCCGAAAACCGAAAGGTTCTAGTGGAAAATCCACAAAATTTTAGTGAAAAAATATAGGAATTTAGCTAATGTACATGAAGGTTTAAAAAAGAATTACTTGAGAACGTAATGATAATTTGACATCTGCGGCCGAAAAACAAAAGTTTTTAGCTGGAAAACATAAAGGAGAAAATTTTTAGGTATAAGTCGATTACGGGTCGGGTATGGATACACAGTTCTCGGGTCGGGTCGGGTACGGGTACGAAAATGGTACCGTGCACATCTCTAGTCGAGATCCGAATGATTTATTAGCGTCGTTATCGGGTTTAACAAACTGGTTACCGTTTAACACCGATCAAAATTTAAAAGACACAAAAATTGTTGATAAAGATCTGGCTGTAACACTAATACCAACAGCACCACATACAACCACAAACAGCATCAATACAAATGATAATACCATCATAAAATCCAAGAAAAAGCCAATACTCGATAATTACGTTCTTCCAATACTGCCTTCAGCTATGGAACGAGCAATTGCAAATGGGAATACAACCATTTTTGAAAATTACTCAAAATTTCGTGGAATTTTGGTTGAAGCTATATTTTTTGGTTTAACCGATAATTATCAGGCTTGGTAAGTAAATTCTAAATGAGATTATTGCTGCTGAAGGCTTTGCAGGTTTTTTTCTCTTTTCAGGTATCCTGATACAAAAAGTATTTTAAATGCTCTAAAAATGGACGTTAATACTGGCAATATTGTAAGTTTTTAATGTATGTCTCTCAAAACTATTCGGCAAACTTATCGATACATCCGAATTTGACATTCTTGTTTTTGAACATATTCAACGGAGCCGCGATGATCACAAAATCCTTTATGAATCGTCGGTAAAATTATGCCATCTGAATGAATGAATAGGCCGCTTTGGTGGATGTCGGTTTGGTGTTTTCTCGACATTCGACGTTGTCGGTTTGATACCATGTTCAGTAATACGGAACCCGAGATAATCTAATTGTTTTCGTGCCAATGAGCATTTGGGTGCATTCAATTTGATATTGGCTTTTTGCAAAGCGTCTAATACTCGATCCAGATGTTGCACGTGTTTCTCGAATGATGGTGAGTAGATGATGATGTCGTCTAAGTACACCAGTATGATGTCTCATCGCAATATTCCTAACACAGAATTGATGATACGTTGGAATGTGGCGGGCGCGTTTGACAAACCAAAGGGGAGCACGCTAAATTCGTATAGACCGTCAGTCGTCACGAACGCTATCTTCTTCTTGCCTTGTTCGTCTATTGGAATTTGCCAATATCCCGCTTTAAGGTCTAGTGTGGTGAAGTATTGAGATCCAGCCAATTTGTCGATAATGTCGTCGATTCGGGGAAGAGAATACACATCTCGCTCGGTGATCGCGTTCAAACGTCTATAATCCACACAAAAACGCGGGCTGCCGTCTTTCTTTTTGATGATGACGACGGATGATGACCATGGACTTGAGCTCGGACGGATAATATGATTATCTAGCATTTCCTTTACTTGTTCGTTGATAAGTTGCGTTTCCTTAGGCGCTTTTCTGTATAGGTAGGATTGTATCGGTTGATGATGTGGTTGGATTGGAATATGATGGTAGACGTTGTTTGTTTTCATGATCGATGGCTGCGTAGTATCGAATACGGATTTGTGTTTGAACGGTATAAGGCGGATTTGCTCTTGTTGTCCTTTAGAGAGATGAGATACGAGATCGTCAATTGTGCTGATGATAGATGAATGCGATTTTGACTTTTGTTGCCCTTGATGTGACGTAATGACAGCAGATACACCATCTTTTCTTCATCCTGCATGTCCGGATTGAATTGTGTACACAGTGACAATACATCATAATAGTACGACTGTGCCGGTTCGCTGTTTCCTTGTCGCCGATTGATTAATTTTAATGACATTTTCAGTTTCTGTGCCGATGATGAAAATGCGCCGATGAATTCTCTCTTAAATTCATCATAATCACTCGTATGCTCTTCACTACGATACCATTTCTTCTCATCGGCACCAACATATATTGGTAGAAATCTTCGTCGATCGGTCTTGGTGGGTCGAATAATTCTTCGATATCTTGTAGCCATGTTACTGGGTTCATAAAAGAAGAATTCCAGCTTTTCATCAAACTTTCATCACGGTACAAATACCGTCGGATATTAGCTGACAAAAGTGGGAAGCCACCACCATTTCTGCGAGTTCTCGAATTTCCGTTGCCAACAGTATCGTTACTGTTGAAAAGAATATCGCTAATGTTATGGTTGCTAATCTGACACTACGATGGAGTTATATTCGTCCTGGACAGAAACTCGCTTTCCTTGATTCTTTTTCTTCTGATTCTAGTCTGCAAAAATCTGATGGATCACTTCAAGAACATCAGGATACATGTACATTTATTACTCAGGAATCACCGATGACAGATCCCAAAGAAGGACAATCTAATTCTGCCGATAACTGTTCTAAAGACACTTCATCTACTACGGGTGTTAACAGTCCAGAATTAGCAACATCATTATTTATAGCAGAGAGGAAATTTGACAATTACATTGAAAAGATTAGACAATGATTGTTAAGTCAAGATCCAATTGCACGTCGGATTGAAGAGGAGAAAATCACGATTCGAAAAGATGCCGATATTAGAGAAGGAGATTTCGATTCGTCTTTATTGCTTTTTGTTAATAATCACAGTACACTTGAGAGGCCAGACCCTTTGACTGCTATCATAGTTCGTTCTTTAGCTGAGAAAACCGATCTTGCGCGTATTTCGCTAGCCAGTCCTCAGTTTTATTCACAAACGGCTGAGAAGTAATTGAAGTCGTTCAGTGATTCTACAGATATACCTGGTGATTGGCTAACTAAACTTGATTTAGCTTCTTCTGGGCTTTCCTCGGAACAGGAAGACCAGTTGAGACAACTTTTTTGATATCCCGACATTCTCTCGTCAAAACCGGGCCGTACTAATGCAGTTAAACATCACAATGATGTTGGTGATGCCAGACCGATAAAACAAGGCCCGTATCGCCTTTTAAACCCGAAAAGGAAGGCAAAATGCACTCGCCAGACTGCCGAGATGCTCAAAAGTGATGTAGTCGAACCTAGTTTTGGGCCATGGGCCAGTCCTGTTACCTTAGTCCCAAAAAAAGATGGTACACTTCGTTTCTGTATCGATTTTCGAAAACTGAACGGGGTTACCATCAAAGATACCTATTCGATTCCCAGAATAGATGATGCACTTGATGCATTTAGAGGTGCCAAATATTTCAGTACTCTAAATCTCTCTTCTGGGTTTTGGCAGGTTGAATTGGACGAAGGTAGCAAGGAAAAAACTGCTTTTGTCACTCATGAAGGCATTTTTCAATTTAAAGTCATGCCATTTGGGCTGACTAATGCACCGGCTACCTTCTAGCGTCTCATGGACCTTGTTCTACGAGATCTGAAGTGGAGCTGCTGCATAGTCTATTTAGATGATGTCATAATTCATTCACCAACATTTGAACAACATCTAATAGACATTGATAATGTCCTTAATCGCATAAAAGAAAGCGGCCTTACATTAAAACCATCAAAATGTTTCTTTTGTCGCCGAGAATTAAAATAACTAGGCCATATAGTCAGTGCTGATGGCATTCGACCTGATTCAGATAAATTAGAGACGGTTCGGTCTTTTGCCGTACCAATTAAACCTAAAGATGTACGAGCTTTCTTGGGTCTTATGGGTTATTATAGGCGTTTTATCAAAAACTACGCTGAGATTGCTGAACCTCTTTTTGAATCGATTAGGGAATAAGATAACCCTGTTTCTGTATTCACTCCTGATCGACAGCAGGCTTTTGAACTATTAAAAGAACGCTCTTTTTTTTTCATCGCCATTACATTATTCTCCATGCTTGATCTTATCACAGTTTCTAGAAATTCTTAAAACTTCGTAGTTTCGCGGGTTTTAGAACGAGAGATAATGGAAGAAAGGAATTATGTATAAATTAATAAATAATACAAGTCATTTCCGGGAACAAAACGTAAAGCAAGTCATAATCAAAAGCAAATTTTATTTAATATTTTATAATTTAGTATTTGCGTTTGCAATACTTATTTTCATTTCTCCTTCTTTACATTAGCATCTCGATATATTAGATTCCACCACATTCTTCGCAGAAACAACAACGAAGAACATCACTTATTCAATTAATTGAACCTCGACATTAAACTTCAGATTGTTCAAACAGCTTTTTGTATACAACTTTTATCATTAAACTAGTAATAATTGTTGTTGCTGGTAGAACAGAACTGGGTGTTGTTTTATGAAGCTGTCAGTAGGGCCTAATTAGCACACACACACGCCCTCAGGGATTCGATGTTTCCTTCGAAACTGAAGTAATCATACGGTTCAGTATCCCAAAGTGTCTCTGTATAAATGGTCTTTCGTCACACAATCTGAATAAGTAACACTTTTAATGGCAAAATATATTTTGGGGTCGGCTTCTACATGTTTCACACGAAGCCGCACAAGATGTTTTAGTTTCTTCGCAAAACTGAGAGAAATATGAATAAACAAATTGAATACACGGTACCACGTTATGATGTCGTACTGTCGCTTGTCACTTTGTATGCTTTCTTCTAGACGTCAGAATCCAATCTGAAAGGTTTCGAGCAGTATTCTTTACTTTGGTCTAGAGTCTTAACAAAAGTTCAGAATGAATTTAGAAATATTTTTAGACCTCCGGGGATCTTTGAAGAGTCTAGAGAAAACTTTTAAGGTTTACATTAGATTATAGTCAAGGGATCGAGCGAGTGCAGACCAGCGTTACCTTGTAATTTAGTGTTCCGACAATTCTGCAGGTTAGAGCTCAATCAATACAAGTATCTACAGATAGAATCTGCGTAATCTGAAACCAATTCTATCACGAAAAAAAACGTTTGTGTCCATTCAGCTTTGTACTGATGTTACGAATGAATGAATCAATCAATCAGTTTTACTTTAACACGAATGTGTCTAGACTGTTACAAAAAAGAAAAACTTAATTGAATGTAACGCCTTTAAAATGAAGTGCATAAGCAGATCAAAACCTCCGCTATTTGACAATGTAATCGGAACTAGTTTCTATTGATCGGATGCTACTGTCAGCCACAAAATTTTTGCGCTTTAATAAATGAATACATCTGTCTACTTAACTGTAGTGATTGAATAAATAAAAAAATGTCGCGACTAAAATTTATTTTCGTACAGACACAGAGGCACACTATGTTTGTGAACTCAAAACTTTCTGTATCAAATAGCAAATTTGCTAACAATTTTAACATATAAAGATTTAGCAAATCCAGTGGGGATGCAAGTATAAAATATTTTTCGATTTCGACGAACTATCATTCTAGTCTCTTGATGAAAAATACAAATAATGACCATTCTTCGTAAGAACTTCTGAAAAGTTACCGAACTTTGAGTTATATGAGAGGATTATTCTTTCTAATCAAATTAGATTTATAGAACTCATACCATTCGAGCTCAGTTTCACGTATCAGAATCCAGTGTTGCTGCTACTTCAAATAATATATTATTAGGCGTCGCACTATAGTGCGCTGTACGATGTCCTCCGGTTAATTTATAGAATCTCATTTTTATCAAAACCCTATGCTTTATCTTGTAAATTTAATTTTCATTAGCCTGTCATAAAATAAGATTAGATATCTAATCTTACATATACATCTTATATTTCAATTATATCTGGATGAATCTAAAATCAATCTAAGAATAAATTACATAGGGCTTATGTCAAATGTGAATTCAAAGCACGTGTTTTTGGAGCCTGTAGAACTGTCTGAAACTTTTGTGTTTCTGCAGCAACCTGACGTATCTTACACTGTTCTATCTACGTCATGTATACAAGACCAATTTTGAATTCTTCACTGAGTCATAAATTGGCCTAGAAATTAATGTTCTCAAATTTATAAAATTTAAGCACAAATTTACGTCAATATTTTCGTATGTCATTTTATAGCATTGACCCAAGATATTTCTACAGGTGTCTCAGTTCAACACTTAACTTAAGTCAAAATGAAGATTTAAGATCTTTTGGTGAACACCAAGAATTAAGTCAACTAAAATTAAGAATTAAATTTAAGTGCTACCTAAAAATATCGATAACGATTCCCTGAAGTTGAACAATACCTACAACAGCTATTTCCTATTTTACATGTCAATAGAAGACGCTGCTTTTGTGAACTCTCGACAATTCTAATACATAGTAAAAAAAAATGAAAACTTATTTAATCTTTGCTTAATTCCAAATGTTTTATCCAATTATTTTTTGCCTTCAAAAAACAAAAAGTGGTTGAAATAACAGTTTTTTGTCATTAAGCATGAGCTCATCTAGTTGATAAGATGTGTAGCTGGACTAATGAAACGCTTTGGCTTTTATTTTTGAATGAACTTGTTATATCTCCTTAGCCTTGGAAATTTTTCGTTTGACCCGAGTAAAGTTGAAAATTTTTTTGTTATGTGCTGCGCTGCATGCTTTCTATTTAGTTTTCACAACCAATCTTTCCGATGCCGATCTAAGCGACGGTCATGCAAGAGAAATTCAGACCTCGTATTAGTGTTCACTTCAGCAAAACTTTAAATATGATCAGACTTCTCCGTCGAAAGTTAATTTCATTACATCTCCATATATGTCTTTTGTCTATCTTTTAGTTTTTGCTTGTATCTCCAAAGCAAAACAATGGTTAAACATAATCCATCGAGCGATCCAGTCGATCAAGTGGCTGATGTAGTGAGGAAAAGCCTTGATATGTTGCAATCGGCTGTTGATGATGTTGAAGAAATTGCAATTGAAGACTTTACATTTTTAAATCATTGTTCAAGTTTTGCTATTCACATATTACTAATTATCGTTGTTATTGGTCTCAAATATCAATATGATCGAAATCGATGTTGTCTTCCATCTGGATTACATCAACTAAAACATTTTTATTTATCATGGCTATTCTATCGAAATAAACGAAAAAATCTATTAAAATTATTCATACGGCATCCACAAATGTGTACAATTCAAACACATTTAGGAAAAGTTATCTTATTAAATGATTCAGTGTTAATTAATGAAATATTTGTTAGTAGAGCGGATTCATATAGTAACAAAATTGATAATTTTCTAGAGAACCAATCAAAGTACAAGCATGGAAAACATCAACGAACAGGTCAGACGAAAGCCTTTCATTGTCCCTGATTGAAAAAACAACACGATTCGATTTTATTTATATTGCTGCTTTCTCTTTCTAGGAATATTTCCTCATGCCGATCATAATTCTCAATTAATTCATCATGCATTAGTTGATCATTTAGCTGAAACTAAATTAATTGATTCTTTTATTCAATGTGAATTTTACCAGTTAAAACTATATTTGGAGCAAAATCCCACAAAGTTTAACGTACAGGAGACGATGTTTCGGCTATCAGCACATATTTTAACAACAATTTGTTTATCAAAAACATTTGTCTATGATTTAGGTGAGAGGTGGTGATCTAAACGTTTTAGCTAGGCAAATGAAATTATGAGCAATTTTTTACAGTGTTTTGTATTTAGGTGATAAGATATTTGAAACGTTTACACATGATTTATATGAGTTAAGTGCTGCCATTCATGAAGATTCCATACAAAAAACGTTTGGTTATCCATCTGAATTATTGAGATTAAATAAATTTATTCTATCACAGGTCCAGTTGTGGGTGGATGAACGGATTCACGAATGTAAAACAACGAAGCTGAGTGACCATTCGCAACAACATGATGTATTAAATTCATTGTTGGAAATTGTTGATAAATCGTCTCCACATATTGATAATGAAGATTTGGCAGCGATTCTATTGAATATAATTATGCATGGAAGTGAAATGATGAAATGTGCTCTAACATGGTTGTTATTATATGCTGTTAAATATCCACAGGAAACCAATTTGGCAAGACAAGAAACAAAGTAGGTGTCCAAGACGAAATTTGTCTAATTTAACATTTTTTCTCTTACTCAGATTGCAACATTATAATAATTTTACATTAAAAACTGTAGATGAATTACACTATTGTCGAGCCTATGTTAAAGAAGTCCTACGCCTATCACCCGTTGTACCCGTTCTCTTACATTCAACATTCGATGATTTTACTTGGCGTGGTTTTACCTTACCAAAACAAACATTAGTTGGAGCAAATCTCTACGGGTTACATCATTGTGAAAAATATTGGGGGATGGATGTTGAAAAATTTAATGTTGACAGATGGTGGACTAAAGAGAGCGAAGATGGAACGTTGCATAGGAATTATTATCAACCGTCGTTATTCGGATTGGGATTCCGGCAATGTATAATGGGAGAAAAATATTTATTAGATATATTAACCGGATTATTTGCTACAATGTTGGCTCATTTCAATTTTGAAGTATATGATAATCTTCCCGAACCAAGTGAAGGTACATTTGGTTTCACTAATGTTGCACCAATATTTTCACTTAAAGTGAAAATAACGTAACAGTAAATGCAACGACGATATCTCGATTCTTCTTGCATGTTATTTATTTTTTTATTTTATAGTAGGAGATTAAAACATTTTCTTTTTAGTTACATGCAGGATGGAGAGATAAAAAAATTTGATGAATCTCATTAAGAATCACGAAATATTGTAAAATTCATGGTAGTAGAACTCTGTCAGGAGCAACATACTAACTGAAATACAATGTGATCTATCTACTGGAAAATTTTATCATACAGACGAATGTTCAGATATGTTTTTCTTTCATTTTTTGAAAAAACTTGACCCGAACGCTTCCAGACACACTTTTTATCTTAATGGGAGACAAAGTGGATCCATACATAATCTCTTTATCCAATTGTTTTCATTTCGATCAAAGAAAAACGCATTTAGACGAAACAAACCTTCGAAGGAATGGAGAAAAAATTGTATTGTTACAATATAGTTACAATTGTTACAGTTTATGGATACATTTTAAAAACGTGTCTATAACAAAAAGAAAATCGTGTCGAGACGCATCGAATAACTTGAACTTGAACTTTATTTTATTTTACAAACAAAGCTGACTTTACAAAAGAAAGAGCTGCTATAGGAAAGGAAAAAAAGTAAAACATACTTATACACACTACCACCTGGAGTAACAACACCACAAGAGAGAGAATACAGGCTTATATCTACAGATTCACTCTTATAGAATAGAGTACAGAAATAAACAAAAACAAAAAATGAGAAAACGCCTAAAATTTGGAAATGATATTTCAGCAGCGCTTTGAATTGACCTAAAGCACTACATACTGCAACAACCGTTTCTGGTAAAGCGTTCCAATCTTCGGCAGTCTGATAGAAAAAAAACTGACGCTACCCGTTTTTTATGACTCTATCACAGCACCGTTTTTATATATCTCTATCACAGCATTTTGTACTCACTTCTGGAACTTTTTTTAGAAGACTCTGGGATACAGTAAATATACTTCTCGTGATCCTTGAGTGTTGTCTGACTCTACTATTAATAAATAGTTAATATAAACGGATATCTTTATCGACTAATATTGGGATATAAGATAGATGGTGGGTATAAAAACGCTGCTCCAATGTGCATTATAACAAAAGCTTTTTTATATTGAGATGGAAACATGATTGTTCATCTGTATGACAAAATTTTTGAGTGGATAATAGGTAAAGTATAAATAACTTTTGGAAGTACCCCTCGCCGAAAATAGAAAATCTCCTGGGTTGTCGAGTGTGCTAGATACGAAAAAGCACTTTTCAGTAACTCAAAACCAACGTTATGTTTTTGTTTCGGTGATATGTGCTTGAATTGAAAGCTACCCAAATACATTACTAAAAATGAAGTATTCCGACTGAAACTCTAATAAATTGTTAAAACTTTGTCTACATACTTAGACTAGTACTTTAGAAAGTGAAATTTTTTGTCAGTAAAAAAGATACTTCTCAAGTAATTCAGCAAATAGAGGTACTTGATAAATACTGCATCGTAGTAAGTTCTATGAGTATTATAAACGTCCCTGCACGAAATCAACTCCGGATGCTGTTGTTCTTAACTGCTCTGACTATATATAATCGTACAGTACTGCCATCTATATGCAAGGATGAAAATGATAGCATCAACCGTTTGATAAAATCCTGCAAACTGTGTGAAGTCTTTTCTACTTCTCTTGGCGTATTGTTCGTATTTTAGTTCAGCTTCGCTTTGAAACGATCGCTATGACACGGTCATAGTTAATGGTTTCTTTTTTCTTTGAACAAAAACGAACTTATTTACACGCAAAAATTGGAATCCATACAGAAAAAGCATTTTTTGTACGAAAAGTGGAATTGTTGATTTAGCACGTTTGTACCACTTTCAAGTACCAAAATGAATCAAAATCTTTCCTTACATTAATTTAAGTTAGTTAGAATTTGGTATCACTGATTCACAAATGTTTCCATCAACAGAAACTATTAATGTAAGTTACTTGGATGTTCATCTTACGTTAATCAGCTGTAAAAAAGGTCCAATTCTTAGTAAATGTCCCTCAGTACTTGGTAAGAACCTAGTAAATACTGACAAAACTAAATATTTTAAAAATCGGGCACTCTGCCCATGGAGAAATTTTAGTAGGTACCGCGGTGTGTACACGCGTGAATATCGTGAAATGAATTGTGGTCGCACGTGAACATCGTAAAATGGTGTGTGAACATGCATGAAAAATATATTCCACTTGTGACAACAGGTGAACTGGTCACGAAAACGTTTCGCGTCATATTTTTTGCACGTGACCACAGGTGAGAGTCGTGAAGTGTGTAGTGGCCACACGTGAATTTCTCATCTTAAAATTTCCGTAAAAAAATATCACTTGTGGACACGCGTGAAAATGTTTCCTACTAATTTCATTGTGAAAAATATCTTCACATTTATTCGTACGTCAGTTTTTCACGCAACCCATTTCGTGAATAATATTCACGCTTAACCCCAAGCGACAAAATTCTTACGTTTCACGCGCGTCTACGTGAGAAACCTTTTCCAGGTGCGAAATATCGTGAAGATTGAGCGGCAAGCATAAATACAAATTTCTCCTATGTCTTCCGAAAGTTGTACATACATACCGATGAAAACCTTTGCTTTGTAGACCGAAGGTATCTGCTGTACGAATATGCCTGAGAATCATCTTGTTTCCCGGGAGGAAGTATTAACTAAAAAAGTTTGGAAAAGTTGGAAACTAAGAAAAAAGATTTAGGAAGTTCACGAGTAATCACGCGTGGGAACTTTTTTACACGTGATAACTCGTGAGGATTGATTCGACAACTATGAATATGAGATTTATTCAGTAGTTTCTCAGACAAGTTAGCTCAATAGTAGTATCGTAGATTTCTAATTCAAAGTACCATGATTCGACTCTTACTTTGCAGTGATATATATAAAATGTGATATTTTAGAAGCTAGTGGTCACACGTGGAAAAAGTTATAGATGAAGTTGCATTGATGAAATCTGCATTATACCTTGACCATGGTGACCATGTATAGTCAGTTGACTATAGATGGTCGGCATGGTCAAGATTTTTTCACACGTAATCACGCGTGAAGATTGTTCACTTGTGTACACGTGTGAAGATTTTTCACGCGTAGCCACGCGTGTGATGTTGCAACAACACGACCAAACTGTCGTGAAACTTGCTGTCTTTACCTACAAAATTTCGTGAAAGTCCAAGCTGGCATTTCACGGTCCCTCACGCGTGAAAAGTCGATAAAATTTCCCCATGGGTGGTGTGTACTTTTTTATAAGTACTTTTCCAACATTGCAACACTTGGTTTTTATTGCTACAAAGTACTTTTAATTTTACTTGCACAAGCACTTGTTGAGTAAAGGTCAAGTATTATGAGTGTGCCTACTATTTACAGGTAAATATACTTCTGGAAAAAGCTAAGTACTAGCGTCATTACGCAAGAGTCGAAATACGATTCTCAAGTATATTTACCAGAGGTGGAACGAAGTTCATAACGATATATTTAATCGAAGACATGCTGAAATGTTAGCTCTCAATTTTAATAAATCAAACGATAATACCTTGAGGAAGAGGTCATATATCGTACACTTAGTCGGTGTCCATTCATGTTTATCTGGCATGATAATAAAAAGCATCTAATAAATGAGTATGAAAACTTTCTCTTTTTTACAGGATTATTCCGTTTATCATGAACTTGGACGAGGTGGTTTTGCTACCGTTCATAAAGCAATTCGCATCTATGATAAATTAGAAGTTGCTTGTAAGATGGTATGTTCGTATACTTTTCCACTGTATCACATTAAAATTACTCTTTTATTTGATTTGTTTCCCAAAGATCGATCGTCTTAAAATTCAACAACAGACAACTACTCAACATCGTCTTATGCATAAACGGTTGAAAAATGAAATTGAAATACATTCAAGGTTAAAACATCCGAATATTGTTGATGTAAGTGACAATTTTTTTATTATTATTGTGATATACATGCCTACTGATTAATTCTTTTAGTTATTCAATTATTTTGAAGATCAAAAATATGTTTATTTAATTCTTGAACTGTGTCAATATGGAGATTTAGAAAAGTATTTGAAAATAAAAAGAACATTAAACGAAAATGAAAGTATGTTTATATTTTATGCGATACAAGCACATATTCGTGAATATGTGGATTTATGTGTTTGATATCTGATTCATTTTTCTAGCTCGTGTATATGTGAAACAAGTCATTGAGGGTTTACAATATTTACATGATCACGGAATATTACATCGAGATATTAAATTACAAAATTTATTATTAACAGAAAATTATAACATTGTACGTTTCATATACGTATTGTACGATGAATTTTAACATTCTATGATTATATCCTTTCTATTTTAGAAAATAGCGGATTTTGGTTTAGCAAAAAAAGTAGAAACAATTGATGAAAAAAATCATACCATGTGCGGAACACCAAATTTTTTATCACCGTAAGTATTGATGATTTACTAAAGGTTATAGCTGAGGAGTGTAGGTTATATACTCAGAACACCAGCATTTTTGCTATTTTTTTACCTCTTTTCCCCTTTAGTTATAAATTTAATTAAACAAATAAATGTCGATATGTATGAATGATCTTCAAATCATTTAGGGCTTTATTTACGATTTTATAGCCTCGAATTCTGTTTTTAAAAACACCTAGTGTTCCTCGTTATGATCTTGAAACCGTACAAGCTTTACAGTTATGATCTTAAAACTACTGCTAGGTCTATAATTATTATCTTTTTGCTCAGAGATCATACCATGTCATCGATTTTTATTGAAAATCGACGGTTAACCACGGTTATCGAAATAGCCCAACAGACAAAGTGAAGTTTATTTTAATAACCGCGATGCGTGTAAAAAAACCGAAGGTTATTGGTTAATCGGTTTTTTTTGTTGCAATTCATTCACCGTTTTGTAATTAATTATTACAAAGACGAACTGAAGAACTAACAGTCAGCAGGAGTTTCACATTTTAGACCCAAAAGGGGCTGCTCTGGCAAGCTTTTTTTCTCATTTTTCTGACTTTAAACTTGCTTATTTCGCTTATTTTGCTTATTTCCTTCAAAATAAAACGTTACCGAGCTCGAATTGGTACGAAAGTCTCAAAAAAGACATTTGCTGATGGCAACATCATGCGTTCGAATCTGACTTACCGTTTCTTCATTACCATGCATCAAAAGTTTGTCCGTTTAGATGGATATTTTTACCACAGATACTAGACATCAATACTCTTTTCGATTTTAGAAATTCATGCAGAAAATGTTTAAGTGATTTTTTACCTGGTTTGAAAACCCCGTGGTATTCTTTGTATGTTATTTCCTAAAAAGCCTTGGAAAACTCTGAGTTGAAAAATCCTCGCTTAAAAATTGAGTCCAGTATCCATTCGTAAAAGTTCTAGCCTGAATGAATGTAGTTTTGATGGAGTTACTTCATGTGCAATGGAAAACCGGGATCTCAGAAATCTCTGACAAAAAATGATTTCAAAAATTGAGCTGAAATATGCCGATTTTATTTTCAACGATCAAGCTATGGTAAAAATTTTAGTTGTCTATGATCAGTCGTTACTGTTCAGAAATGAGAGGAGATCACCCATGAATGGGACGGACAATGATATGATTTTCTCGTCGCAATTCTACAGTCTGAATAAAAACATTTTCTAATTTTTTTTAGCGAAATAGCAACGAGAAGTTCTCATAGTTTTGAAACAGATGTGTGGTCTCTAGGAATATTAATTTATACGTTACTTGTTGGTCATCCACCTTTCGATACAGAAAGTAGGTTGTGTTTTTTTGTGTTTTGTGCCCACTATTCGGACAGTGTCTGATTCTCTTTAGGTGTTTTATCAACATTATCACGTGTGGCTAAAGTTGAATATGAATTACCCTCAAGTTTAAGTGATGAAGCTAAAGATCTGATTAACAACATCTTACAAAAACAACCAGAAAAACGTTTAACATTAAATCGTAAGTTTAAACAAGAAATTTTATCATTCTTTATCAATGTTAAACGATTCTAGATTTTTTTATTTCTTTTTTAGAAGTAAAAGAACATTCATTTTTTACAAAAGAATTTGAAAAGCAATCACCACTGTATGAAAATTTATTTCTGGTATGTAGAAAAATTTCTCTTCTCTACATTATGCTATGTAATTTTTTAATCATACAGACTACAAAACCTCCAGATATTCTGTTTACGACTGCTATGGGAACCTCATCTTCATCCAAGTCCGATTATTTTCAAAATAATCCAACATCAAACTTATACACGTCTGTCTAATTAAACTAAATTAGTCTCCATTTAAATAATGATATTTTTATTATAGTTCTACTTTACCACGTCAAGAAAATAGATTATTTCAAGATAGACTAACGACGTTGAAATTACATGAAAATTTCATGACACCATCACAACCGATTAAAGCAAGACGAAGGTAAATAAATTCTTATCTATATTACTAGTTCTCCGTTTATTTATTATTTTTAAGTCCATCATTGGATATTCTTCGTACTGGTACAACCGATACTACTCGTCCCGATAGTGCCAGTGTTTCATCATCTCGAGATAGTGGTTTACCAAAATCTTCATTAGATTATTCTTCAAATTTATCAATTTCACGTTCTCTTGTTCATGAACAAGATTCATCAATAAATAAAAATAATCATCATAAACAATTACAAAAGTTAAATTCTCAACGTTTAAAACCAATTCGTCAAATTGCACGATTAATTATGGTTTGAATATTTATTTAATCTTATTTATAATTTAAAATATAATAAGATTTATTTTTCTAGTTTGCTATATTAGAAAATGGTGAAGTTGTAGTAGAAACTCTAAGAGTAAAAGGAAAAAAGAAGCGAATTGTTGATGTATGCAGAATATCAACAGATGGAAATAAAGTAATAATCATCCTTTCATAAAATACATACAAATTTTATTTATTATTTAATTATTTTATAGATAATTACTTATATTCCAACAAATCATTCATCAACAGGTACTTATCCATCACCAATTCCAAAAGATAGAAATTCTTATCAAGAATATGATTTTGACAATTTACCAGAAATTCATTGGAAACAATATCAACGTGCTTATAAGTAAAGAAAATAAAATTAGAAAATTAATAATAATATCTTTACTTTTTAAATATTAAATATATTCTAGATTTGTTAATGTAATTCGTTCTCGTACAGCTAAAATTCAATTAATTACACCAGATGCAAAATGTCAACTCATGGAAACATCTGTAGATTTTGAAGTAAAAAAAATATTATATAGTTTAATTTTGAATTGAAAAAAATATTAAAATCTTTTTTGTAGATTAATTTTTTATGTGGTATTCGAATTTTAATTTATCGTGATGATTCCAATATTGATGATCATTTAAAAATTAAATTAACAAATGAGTCAGATAATTCAACGATCATTTTAGACTATGAAAAAGCAACAAAATCTGGATTAGGTGAACAGTTTACAACACCGGAATTACAAAATATATTAGAAAATTCATGTCAGGTTTGTGAAATGCTTTATATGAACATAAAATTATTTAATTACTATTAATCTATCTTTTTTTTTTTAATCTTTTGTAGTACTATGATTATTGTCTGTCGAAAGATCATCTATTAGAAAATGATCAACAATTATTTCCAGATATTCAAACTTTTCCCGTTTTATTTAACGCTCAATTAGGAAAAAAACTCAATCAAGAAAATCAGAATAGACCAAGTATGTTAATAAATTATAGTTATTTATACTATTATAAATTATAAATATTATTTTTAGATTCATCTTGTTCACTTGGTCGTTCTCGATCTCAACAATTTGGATCTTCTTCTACTGTACATGAAATCGATCATTTTTCAACATCATCTTCTACACGACGTGCATTTGCTGCCAGTGATACAGATATTCGTCCATCATCACAAAATCTTTCACCTAAACGTTCCTATATTCATTATAATCCAATAAAAACGGATTCAGTTGAACAACTTACCGTATTATCGACTTATCCATCATCTACATTAAATTCAAATCTAACTGGTATTAATAATTTGACATGTAAATCAAAAAATGTTCGAGATATTGGTTGTGTACGTCAACAAACGAATGGAGATTTTGAAATTCAGTTTAATGATAATAGTTTAATGAAAATAAATGCAAATGTTGAACAACAACTTTATATTGATTCAAATGGCAAACATTATTATTTTGATCGATTTGGAGAAAAAGAGTTGCCTGAATGCGTGAAACATAAACTATTTCTCATACAAAAATATGAACTATTTGAAACATTAAATAAATAAAAGATTTTTAAAACAGTATCTTGTGAATGAGATATCAACTTCTAAAACAATAGAAATATTAGAAAGAAAACGCGTTTTACCTACCTGTGTATGTGTATTTGTTTTTTTTCTTCTTTACTCTTGTTATTTCCGTCCTTGAACACTTTATTTTGTCAAATATTTGTTTTTCATTTAGTTAAAATGGTACAAAAGCGCATTTTTTTTTAATTCAGATGTTATTAATGCATTTGTTTTAGTTCATAGCTTAATTTGTTTTTTTATTCATCTTACATTATTTATTAGAAACAGTATTAGTTTATTCTCATTGAGAATACGCGATAGTTTTCTTTTTTTTTTGTTTTTTTTTGGTAAATATTCTATGCTAATTTATCATTTCTTATTTTTACTCTCTGTTAGTCTATGATCGTACAAAGATACGTTTTTATGTAAAAAGAAAATCTTTCTTTTTAATATACATTGGCCATGGGTCATTTTTTTTATTTACTTATCTTTAAGAGTAAGTTGTTCGTGTTTTTTTTTCAAAATAGATTGAAGAGAATATGAAAGTGTTGAAATTCTGTGTAAACGTATTTGAAAAACCATATTCCACACAAAATTTTGGCCTACTACGTTCATTTAGAAAATTTAATAGTATAAAAAATGGAAGAAATAAAACTAATTTCATCGAGACATTCTATTTTGATACAACAACAATCATTGGCAATATATGGTAATTATTCTCTGTACTGCTCTTCCATTGTCTTATATCGTCATTTCATTATATTTATCAGTATCAAAATACTAATCATATGTTTCATCTGAATAATTAGTTTTTTGAAATGATATTTTATTTCACTAATTCCACTGATTCCACTGATATTTTTCGTTTTAAGTTTGGAAAATATGTTCGCGTTGTTTACCTATAACTGATCATCATTGTTTCATCATATAATTCATGACTGTCATTCTGGCCAACGTCAACATCCTGTTCAAAATGGTACAAATGATTTGGATGATCGTCTTCATCGTCATCATTAATAAAATTCATTGTAGGTTGTTTAATGTTAATAAATAAACCATTTAATAAACTTAGTAACCAAAATGCATGATCGTATTGAAACATGTTTAAAATCGACACGTTTAACATTGTTTCATAGCAATTGTTCTTTAACAGATATATGAAGTTTTTGTTGGAATATTTTAATACACTAAAAAATCGATATTGTGAAGTAGTCATAAATATAAATAAATAGACTTTGGAATTAATATCGTCTTGTCGAAGAAATATTGATGTTAGAACAGTTTTGTTATCAGACTATCAACTTGGAGAAGATATAAAATTGTAAATAGGTGTGAATGAATTTTTTTAATTATAGCTCTTTTTTCTAGTGCTAGTATCCAGTAAACCAACACAAAAATTGAATTTACAAACAACAATCAAAGACTTTACTGAACAATCTTTTGTTTTTTTTGTTGATTGGTGCTATGCCTAGCATTTTGCAGTTATAAGCTAATAATTAATCTTAACACTTAGAGATTACTACTCAGATCTACTCGGATCATAGATGATCCTATGAAAAATCTTAGAATTGGAAATCATATCGGATTTAAGTAGGATCTAATATGCAATCTCCCAAATTCTATCATATTTTGTATAGGATTCTTACGAAGTCCTATACCATTTCTGATTCTAAGATTGCTACCTATTCCTGTGTGACCTTGATCCTGTTAGGGTCCTACATGGTCCTATCTAATCCAAATAGAGTCGTACGAGATTCTATTATAAGTGATCCCTAGTTTTCACAAATATCTCCAGAAAGCCTCTACAGAACATCATCGTAGACAGAAACATATCAATTTTCTTTTCTAGCTATTTGTATCCGGTAAAAGCTCCAATCCGTTGAAACATTGGTCTAGACATTGTCTAACAAGATCAAAAAAGAGAGAGAAGGTTTAAATCGAGAACTTTGAACTTCTCGAAGATTCTAATTTTGGAAATGTCGACTTCTGAAATTTGTTGACTTTTTATAGTTAAAAATTACAAGCACAATCCAATTTTGAGAAATTATAAACAGCCTATGAAAAGAGAAACAACAATCAAAAAAACAGTTTAACTTCATATTTTGGCATACAATACATTATTTAATATTTTCGGTACTTCAGTTTCCCTGTTCGTGAAATCTTTTTTCCAGAAAATTTCATTCTCTTATTTAGTGATTCCGATCACAGGGTAGGGAATGCCAGGCTCCTCCCCAAAGTTTAATTTTCCGTCATAATTTTTGTCAAAAAAAAATGTTTTGTCAAAATCTTTTCTTCTACCTTCGTAGAGAGTTGCTTGAACGTCAAAAAAAGCCTAGTGGCATTATCAACGTATAATCTAAAAATTTTTTCTTTTTCTCGTTAAAATCTTTTTTTTACCGCTTTCTACCAGAGTTTTAACCCCTCTCTGACCAAAAAACGATGGGATTTGAGTTTGCAACAAAATATAAACATCCACCCTTTACGATCACTAGTAGGGCTAAGGGTGTCAAGTTCGAATATAATATGGTAACTCTGCTCTGTAACTGAACAGTCCATAATAATATTTCAATATCGTTTAGCTGAATATCGATGTTAACCTTATATTTCACTTTTATTTTGTATAAATAGACAATATATTTTTGTCGTGATTAAAAGAAACAAAAAACAAAAAGTGTAGATTTAATGGATATAACTGTGATGAATGAATGCCTTATAAAAAGTTTTCCGATAATGAAATAAAACAAGAATTGTCTTTACAAAAACATGTTACTTATAAGCGTTTTCACTGTCGTTCACATTCAACAGAAAAACGCGTTTTTGAATAGATTGAGATTCAAACAAACATTTTTTCAAATAAACAGGTCAAGGAACAACGCATTAAAAAGATAAAAAAGAATGAGTTGGTTTGAAACATTTAACGTATTTAACGATCATTGAAATCGAAAAATGAACGCGTTTTTTTTCCAATTTCTTACTTCTAGATTTTGTTTTCTAATAATGAACGCGAAACAACTTATATCGTTGATTTAAACGAACTAATTCGATGATATGTATTTTATTATCTCAGTGATAGTATTCGATTTAATAAACATAGAAAAGTGCATAAAAAAAACGCAATATAATCGTTTTTAATGGAATATGTTGATGATGATGAACTTAAAGCTAAACTAATTACATTGGATGATGTTGAACGTTTTAAGATGGTTGATGATGGCGCAACATAAAACGAAGACTTCTTTACACCGGGATCTAAAGTAAACAAAAATAAAAAATAATTAACTATCAGATGTTTTTATTTCTATACACAGATTATAAAGAGTTGATGTGAAATGCTGGAAGAAAGAACTTTAAATCGGATGAATAATATATTTTTTTAAAATTTTCTGATATTTGAACATTCATTCCACTTTATCTTAAAGAATGATTGTCTTAGATGCCTATAGAAGAAATTGTGATTTGAATGTTCATTCTATTCTATTGAATGAGGTCAAACAAAAAATAATGATGTGGAAAGTTTCTTTTTTTATCCATTCTAAACAGTAAATTCAACTGTGGCACTAATTAATTTCGAAAATGTATTCATTGATTGGTTACGGTTCATTGAACATTTGAAATGTATATGTACATATGCGAATCATTTAATATGTCCACATAGTTTATGAATTTAACTAGCATCTATAAATATATCAATGTCATCATTATACATGCCTAAATTTGAATCATCATCCACTTTTGGCCACTGTGTTATCCATGCTATTGAATGTGAATCACTGTGTCTTTCTGCTCTTAACGCTGTCCATATTGGATTTCGATATTTAGACAAGCTGTTTGTTGCTGGACGTAATGGATATGAACTTGTCGTAGTTGTCGTGGATGGATGATCTAGACATTATAGAAAATTGAATCAGTTATTAAAATCAGCCTTTAGTAGTTTGAAAAAAAAATGTCTACATTTACGCAGATTTTTGACAGACTTGTTTTTAATATTTTTCCACATTTAAATGAAAGCAAGAACAAGCTTATCATCTTATTCTTAAACATTAATCTGGCAGCATACAAAATCAGTTTTGTACACAGAGAGAGTTCAATAAGTGCACTCAGTTCACTAGTAAACAAATTTTTTTTCTGATACTATACAAATCTCCTACAAGGAACTAAATGAATTCTTGTGCATAATAGTTTTCTTTTTCTTGAGGTAATATATATACCCAGGTGGAATCCATCTTACAAGATCATTTGACAACCTGGGTATATAGAACTGATCAAATTCTCTCTTTATTCATATATGATTTAATCGTTTTGATCACACTCAATCGTAATTAAAACAGATCATTTCAAATTTTTAAACATAGTCTCTATTTTGTTTCACACATAAGAATTCACGCCTTTCCTCTTAAAACTATCGTTGCTCGTTATGTTTCATTTAATAGTGAAATATGTACGCATGTCTCAACAAGTTATTAATAATGATATGTTTTTGCTCACACATTCTCTCAATCACCAGTTGAAATGCCATTAATAGAGAAGGATTATTGTGTACAACATACTTCAAGTACAACTCGTCTCAAATTCTACATATACACAATGTTCTGACCATACATAGAATCAAATACTCAAATTAAAAAGTTTTCTTCTCTAAATGTGTCTTGTTTTGAGTAATATTATCAACGATAAAGGGAAAAATCAGATACGTTGTCACATTGCGATCAAAATTAGCAACAACAATGAATAAAAAAGATTTTTAAGGGTTTATAGTTCAACAATACAATTGTTTTTTACTTGTACATATGAAAAAAACACAGTCACATCACCTTTTCAGTTATGAAATTGAAACAATTTTAATTCAAAACAACTGCAAATAGTGATGATAAATGTCACGTTATGTTATTTGACGGTATGGAAAATAGATACATATATCTTTATCTCCTTATATAACATAAACCAGATATATTCAATTAATTAATACCTCTCTATTTTTTACAAATTTGAACCCTTGTAAATATGAACAATAGGTAATTATACCTATTCGATATGATAATGATAGTTGAACACTCGTCTTCTGACATATTCATTGTTCGATAAGATTTTAAATTAAATGACTATAATATTTTTCTATTGTGATAGCGGATAAAATAATTAAACAAACCTATCTTTCACTCTCTTATTAATTAGTTTTCTTTCGTCTTTGTCTCTTATGACAAGCTGACATTAACCATCACTATATTTTTTTATCGTTTGTAATGGTTGAATAAACACTTACATTGTTGATGACGTCTACCAACATGAATTTTAATTCGAGTTGAATGTTTTTCACAACTACCAGATTCCATATCTTGACGACCAAACTCTGTTGAATCGGATGTAGCTAAAATATAAAAAGATATATTCATTTAATAATATTAAATTTTGATTAAGTTATTATCTAACATACAGATAAAGTAATAAGTGTGACCAGCATTAAATTCAAATCCATTTGGTATGGGTAAATATTCACGAAAATTTAGAGTATATTTCATTATTTCATGTGGACTATTACAACTAATAACAAGTCGAGTTAAACGATTATCACCAAGTGAATAAATACGACATGTTTCATATTCATTTTCAGTTACCTAAATAAACAACAATAATCAAAAAAAAAAAATTATAAACTATTAGTGGAAAGAAGACAGGATATTAAGATTATATGTTCGTTCTACGTTCTTATTTTATTTTAATTTATCTACTACTCTACACAGGTACACATTATATAGTAAGATGAAACCTTTTGCTGTTGTGTTAAATACACTTTTTAGTCTTTAGATATAAGTTTTCAGGAAAACAAATCTCAAGTATTTTTGATTTTATAAAACAAAATCAGTAGATTAGAGAATTATTCAATCCTCTGTGATTTTTTTTCGGCATACAATACTTTTTGAATATCTGAAACTTTCATGCTGAAAAATGCAGGCTATTAGACACATTGTAGACTATATAAAATGTGAAAAACCATACTATGTTAATTTTTCAATTTTCGAATTCGTTGAAACGTTGAAAATACCCATACTAGAAAATTTTCATGAAAAACTGAGTAAGCAACATCGATTTGAAGGTTCATATTAAGGAGTTTTGACAGTTTAGCAAAATTTTTCTTGAGAAATCATTTATTGGATGTTTTATCCGCTCTGAACGATTTTTTGTTTGAAAGGAATAAAATTTTGGTTTTCTTTCTCTATCCTCAACAAAGCACATGAATGGCAGCGCTATTTAATGATAGACTCTTTCTTAGATTCGAACCATAGATCATCCAGAATCATTTTCTAAAAAGAAAGTATTCTCGATCAACATATGTTTTGAAAAGATTTTTGAATGAGATCTGATTTGAGATCCTTACATATTAAAGTATATTTCTTGAATAGCTTTTCTAGAGTTCTTTCCTAAAAATCGTAAATAGTTTGATATTTCTGATTATTTGAAAAACTAATTCTTGAGTATTTTTTTTTTTATAAAATCAAAAACATTTGAGATCTTTTTCTCCTGAATACTTGTATGTATAAACTGAAAATGGAGTCCAACACAATGACAAGAGTTTTCATCTCACTCTAGTTTGTATTCATATGGATCAAAATAGATAAAATAAATTAAGACCATAGAGCGAATGTATAATTTTAGTACGGTACTAACTTACTTGATAAATATCATAGTATTCCAGATCATTTGTCATATAAGATTGTTGTTCATTGTAGTAAGGGCAAACAACATCCATAGCGTCACCTGAAAGTTAAAATAATATTTCTAAAAAAAATTTCAGTTTATCCATTGTTTTACTTACCTAAACGAACGTCAAACGATATTTCACTGTTACGATAAGGCCTAAAGTAGAAAAAAAAAAAAGAATTGAAGAACTCTTCAAAAATTGTACAGAGAACTATACTTATATTGGCTTGACTGGTGTAAGAAGATCACTCACTTTTATACACAAAAAAAATTAGATTTTTTCTTTGATTTTTAAGTTTGATATTATTAATTTAAACCGAGAGAACAACAGATCTATATCCGTTTCTGTAGTATGTGTGTGTTACTTGAGGGTCACTATGTATTTTTGATTAAAACAAAATTTCAAGTATCTTCCGACTTTATATTTTTCTGTTAGATTTCAAGTGGTTAGAGAGAATAAAAATGTTTGATACGTTCATACACACACCACATATGATCGGAAAACGATAGATCTAATGTAAAATCAACTTACATATAGATATAGACATACGCACGCACACATAGACGAAACAATTAATTCAATAAATCTATTTATTATTTAGAACAAAATGTTTCGATCATACTTGACGAGAAAAAAGGGGAATAGAAGATAATAGTAACCGATTGTTTGCATCAGTATAAAAGAACTTTTTACGCGATAGAAACTATGGGAAAACTGTGGGAAAACTTTATGATTTGATTGAACTGTCATTCATTCATCTTATGTCTTAAAATTTTTAGTGTTTGATAGCTGGATATATAGTCGTATATTGTACTGTTTATGACCTCAACAATCGTCTAGTAGAGGATCTAAGAATTAGGAAGCGCTTAGGATAGTATAGTGTCTTTCATTTACGTTTTTTTTTGAAATTTTTGTCACAATGAAAATTTTCTCCTTCTAGATAACTAGTGTCTCTCTAAACACATGTATGAATATACACAGAAAGTGAAACTTTGGAAACAATTAAGTTGAAACGAATCCAATCTATTTTGTCTTGAAGGACAAATTCAATTTTTCCCTTCGCTTTTTTCTCTTATATTAAAAGTAACTATTTGAGAATGAAAGAAAGAACACATTAAAATTGAACAGTTTCTATGTGTAAATATTGAAAAGTAAAATGGAACTTGAACTGATTGCACGTGTATATAGACGTGTCATAGACAACGATATATATACTTAGTGAGAGAATACAGTCAAAACATGACGTTTTTTTTTAAAGAAGAAATTGATCTCTTAGACATACATATCAAGGTTATTACGTCTTTGAAAGTATTTGTGAACAAGTTTAAAAATTCAGGTGAGAAAATGAGTTGCCCCAAGTTAAAAAAAATCAGAAATGATATTTGATATTAGTTCTCACATTTACACAGAGTATATAGACAAATAGACTCTATAGTTGTATACAACTGTTATATTTTATTTTCGACATACACTGTTGCTGTTGTCATCATTATTCATCTCTACTATTGTCTGCTTATCTGTAGTTAAATGTGTAATTATCAATAAGAATATAGCGTAACTAAATCGATGATTATGAAGAGGACAAAACATAACAGACATAGACCATAACCCATTTATGATGAATATTTGTGTGTATGTATTTTTCTCTTAGTATGTGTTTAAGTCGGGATTAGTAATCAAAACAAAAAGCACAGATCCTTTTATGCACACATATATTTTCCTTCATTGTTCATAATGAGATTCTCGCCCATTTATTGAAGGATATGATATGTATAAATATACATGCGTACATTTCGCATATGTTTTATGCCATCTATCATCGAACATCAAAATATATAAACTACTTAGATTCTTCAACGAAAGCAAGCCAATGGGCACTCTGATATAGATGTATATATTGAAAGAGAGAGGAAAGAGTATGTCTTTGGGATAGCATTCTAGAAATAATTTTAACTGCCCAGTCATGTATTGTTGAAGAAACAGGGACGCGCTCCTACTATTGATAAACTACCATTTTCATATAGTAACTTTACTGTTGAATGAATTTGACTAATGTTTTGTTTCAAATTTTACCACACTCGTGTTATTCTCCTCTTTCACGAAAATAGTAGAAGTCTTAGAATAGTTTGCGGATGTTGAAACAATTAAATTCAATAATATATTAGTGAGCAAATACTTTGTAAGTAATATTTGGTCATATTCTTGTTACAATAGACGATGTTCATAGCATTTTCTGTCAAAAAAGATGAAGATGAGAGCTTTACGTTTCACTATATCATTCAATATACTAGTAGATTTTGTTATTTTCACAAATGATTTAGACGACATGTTAGTACATTTATCTAACAGATCACGTATTTTGCTTATTATTTTATAATTCTAAGTATTTTCTTGGGATGTTTACTGCTATTCTAAGAAGTGAATTCTATTTCCTGTTAAATGCATGTTCTTTTTAACATCATTTGCTATAATTGACAGTTATCTCTAAGGAACATTATGTAAACTTTCAAGTGAGTGGAATTAAGCTATCTCCTTTTGAGTCATCATGAAACCTTATAATATTAGTATATTGTCTCTAGACAGCAGTACTGAACTAAAAAATAATCCATAAATATTTTATCTTAGAAAAAAAAACAAAAAAATCAGGCTAGTGCCATTAAAAGGTTTAATCGTGATGATTACTCTATTACCTGAACGTTGTCGTATTCCAATAAAACGGTTCTAATAATACAGCGTTAATTAATTGAATATATACAAATAGAATAAGTAGATAGCGTGAAATAGCACAACATTCATAGGTGAACATTGACAATAATAAAATTAATTTTTACATAAAACATTCGAGGATACGGTTTTTTAATAATTTTATCCACAATGACAAACACGTTCTTCTATCTATTCAAACGAGCATAACTGGACAATATATACTAACTGGTATACATTCTCTCGTCTCTTTTTTCTTTCTTTGAGAGAAAAAACTGTCCACGACTATATGAGAAAAAGATGAATCTTTCTCTCTCTCTCTCTCTCTCTTTCTCACTCTCTCTATAAGAAAAGATTAACTAATCACTATAGATGCACCTTGCTTTTCCTGCTGTAAAAACAATTCTTTTTTTCATTATCATATACATGTGAAGATTTACGGTTATCTTACATAGAGATAGAGAACTTTTTCCTCGCTGTTTATACCATCTCTAAATCACAGTGTGTCATAAACGAGTCAATTATTATATTGAACACACTTAATTGATTGTTATACTCTATAGTCGATATTTTATATGTACAAAAACAGACAACCTGTTGTTAATGAGAAAAAGATGAACGTTATATTGGGTACGATAGAAGGCAATCGAATTAGAATAACTGATAACAAAAAAAAGTCTTTGCATACCACTATGTACTTATCAGATTTCTGCTATGTAGACCAAAACATATATATTACATGAACACTATGTTGACTGATATATGAAAAATGGATAAAATGTTTATGAGATGGTATGTGGCCGAAAAACTCCCTACCGATATGATTCATAACAAGTACCATTTCTCTAAATCTTTTGAAATATTCTGTGTGGAGTATTCCTTTACAGAAAAACTAATTGTCTTCTTAGTCGAAGATTTTCAGTTTGAAAAAGCATTAATAAATGACGAGTGGTTGCTACAATCATCCTCACATATCCTCGCACACCTGTAATCTCAAAAATCATAATTTGTTTCTTGAAATTTTAATACTTTTGTTTGTCAGACATGATAACTGACATGTTTTAATCTCACCATTCTCTCTCTAATCTATAACCACAAGTATATTTTATTTGAACATTCAACTATGCTTATCAATCGGATTATGAATCAAAAATAGAGAAAACATATTTATCGGGCGTTTCATATTGATAAAGGTGAAACATCGATCACCTCTCTATCTTCTTTTCATTTAGTTCAAAAAATTAGTGAAATGATAAATTACGTGCACTATTGAACACACGTATACATAAAATGATAAGTCCTGTTCAACAATAAAAGAAATGTGCCGCGCTTTTCAAATGAATAAATGGATGAAGTTTAAATAACCATAATAAAAAAAGGATGTAACCAAAAAGTCGGTTCAATCTCATATTACATTTATCCATTGAAAAAACAGGTTATCAAATAAATATAAGTCAAAGATTTACTTTTTAAATCACGTATAAGCTTTCAATCATTATGCACATCAAAGAAAAAAGCGACATAATCATATACTACACATATCATAACAGGCCTCTAGTGCAGCATCTCAAATGGTTGCCTCATAGTCATCAGAACTGATAATTTCAATGCTACCAGCTTTACAGTAGTTAAAAATTCTCACTAGTGATTATATACTATATCCACTATTATTTCTACCTTGAGGTTAAAAAGAACTAAATTTTGTTTATTTGTATATGTCTAACGGGACCATTATCTACGCTTTTAAGCAAATTCTTTTTAAAAAAAATAAAATCAAAAAGTACAAAGAATAATAACCCTCAAACAACGAACGAAATTTTTTTTCTTGTGGTTGATTTCGATCAAAGTCAACCCGCTAATTTCACTCGTTCATCATCATCATCCTTAAGTGGAAACTAAATTTGATACATATGTGAATGATATGCCACTTTAGAAAGAAAAAATAAAATATCTATTAAAATCGACATATGACTGTGATTTCAAGCGGAAAAAAAGCAAAGTAGCTGAAACAATCTTATTGTTAAATTACAAGGTCATACTGAAACGTATTGTAGAAAGATAACCTTCAATCTATAGTTCTCTCATAAAGTTCAAAAACAATGATTTTCCATAACATTTCTTGTTCAATAGTTTATATACTTCGCTTGTTTGTGTGAAACGGAATTTTCTATTTATTGAACAATTCACAGCCGAGTAGATTGGCGCCTGAATATCTCTAAAAAATTTCTTTTCTGTTATGTATAGTATATGTGAATTTAAAAGTGAATCGATTTAAAGCAGAAAAAAACATACACAATATTGATAAGATAGAGTCATTTTTCCATACTATATATTGCAACACATACAAATAACTCATTCACAAGTTTGAGAAATATTTTCTATTGATAAAATGAAAGTTAAGTTGGTAAATAACAAGTTTGTTTACCGAATAGAATATAGTGATCGCAGCATAATTATACAGTGATTTCATCGACACTTTCTTTCTTTAACGACCTGTGTGTGAAAGCAACATGCCGAGAAGATGTGATGTGAAAACTCAAGACAAGTGACGAACGACACCATAATTTACTAGTTATCTTAACATTGTGATTTTCAATGTGGAACTTTGTTTTAGTTAACCAGTAACTAAACGTAAAATTTTAGTAAATCGTGTTGTTGAAATAGCTAATTAATTATAATATCATCCAGTTTTAAGTTTTTTGTGATGAATAGCCACATCTCGTCGAAATATTGTTGTTCTAGAAATTTCAAGTTGTCCACAGACATAGATAGTCGACAGAAGAGACTGTCGATACAATTAGCCTATTTGTAGTATAGAGTCAACTGAAAAATGTAAAAAGATAGTAGTGATAGTTATCTCATGTTGATTGGTGAATCAGATTAACATCTCAGATCTTATATGAAGATTGCAGTTCTAGCATCAAAATGATGAATAGTCTCAACTGATGGGCATCACTTCCAAGTGACTATTTTTGGATTCTAACAAGAGTTAGAACACGGTAACAAGAGAGGTACTAAACTCGTTAAAAACACATTAAATTGTCCTTCAGTTTTGCAAGTTTATTGCGATTGTTTCGCCCAGATCTTGGAAGCTTATCAAGAAAGGTAGTGAGCGTGATACTGATTCTATAGAAACAGTTATTATTATCAAGTAGGACGACGAGAAGAAATCTGCAAAATTTTTCTACCCAAGCGTCAAAAAAATCTAGTATCGTCCAATTCATCTAGATTACCAGATTTTTAGTCAATTTCAACTATTTTGTAACGACAGTTGAAATCTAGTAATCGGGCGATTACTAGATTTCTCCTGGTTGCAACTATCAATTTATCGCCCGATAATCGATCGGTTTAACTACTCAGTAGTTAAACCGATCTAGTTAAAAGTTCCTTTTCCAACTAGTAATCTAGATAACAATTAGTCGTGTATCGTCCGACAGACGAAATGTATCTAGATTTTTCCCATAAGTGATGTTTGCTTGGGTAAGTCAAGTTGTACATGGCACATGAACATCTGTCCAATCCCACTTTTTCCGTGACATGGATCTGTTTTTTACCCTAACCAAGCGGTCTCAGAGTAATCTAAGACCTCATATGAACATTCAGACCGAGGACAGAACTGATATCATGTGACTTTCACACGACGGAAGAGAAATACTCGGTTGCGAGGTCGAAATTAATCAGTAAAATCAGACCTCTATTTCCAGACGAAGTCTAGGTTTCTCAGAAATAGGAATAGAAACGCCAATTAATATGCACTAATGCATTAAAATGACATTTTTATTCATCGTAATATATGGCCGCGTGAAGATTTTTACGATTCGAACACTTGAATATGTTCGAAACTCCTAAACTTTCGTTGATGGTGCGTCCGAACATCTCGAAGTTTTTCGTTTGGTATTTAATACACGAGCAAAAACGAAGTAGAACGAAATAAAAAATATTCGAATGGCCAGAAAAACTGCCGTTTTTCAGAAAAAATTCAGAATGGTCACTAGGACGGAAATTTTTAGAACGGTATCATTTCCGCTTTGAGAATTTCGGAACGTCACATCTGTGATCCATGCATTAATGAGAGAAAGTAAGGTCAGTTCTTGATGTTTAGCTATAACTACAACGAAATGTTTTTGACGACTTTGTGTAATCAGACACACGAAAAGCATAGTAAATAATCCTCAAGAAAACAGTTCTATGCGGTACATTCACCAGCAAACAAAGTTGCGGAAACCGACGATTTGCGACAAAATAACTGCTTTTTTGATTAAATAAACCGCGTGTGAACCGGTTGATTTTTTGAAAACAATTCGATTCTGACCGCAGTCATGAACATTTTTTTTCTCTACAAAACTGGCAATAATAGCGCTTTTTTCACCTAAATAATCATTAATAACAGCACAGACGCCTCATTTCAGCAGTACCAAGACTATGCCACTGACTTCAAGCGGTTTCACCCGATTATTTCACTAGAAAAAATGTGCAGAACCGATGAAATGATAATCGCCGCTGAAAAGAAGCAAAATTGTTAAAACCGCATGTTGAGATCGATATAATCGTAATAAATCGCCAGTGAAAAAGTTCTAAACGATTCATAACTACAGTTCTAACCATCAGTCTGCGGATAACTGAGCGGTTGTCGTTTTTTTTCCTGCTTTGTTTGATAAAACTTAGTTAAAACTGCATTTTTTGTTTGTATTGAATAAAGTCTGTAGAATTTAGCATAGTAGAAAATAAGGGTGATACAAATCTCGATACAAATATTTGATTCTTAACAGTATGGTACTAATTTTGAAATCAATACTCGTATGAGAAGAAAAACAATAACCTTCACTTTCTTTCTATCTGTTTACCAAAGGTTCAGTTACAAATCTTTAGACTAGATATACTATCAAGCATGTGTATAATACCAGCAAGATGCCATCACTCTAAGTGTTGAGTAAACATATCACAAGGCCGTTACTAATATACAACACATATGCATCTTTCTACTGAAATGATGCTTTAGAATTTTGGGGAAAAAATCTATACAAGTATCTCCAAACATCATCAAAATGTCTATATTTTTCTTCCATCGTTTACAATGAGTATTTCACTTCGCGATTATTCTTC